CCTCTGCCTCAGCCTCAGCCTGCTTCAGCCTCAGCCTCAGTCTGCCTTCAGCATCGGCCTCAGCCTCAGCCTGCCTCAGCCTCAGCCTGCATCAGCCTCAGCCTCAGCCTGCCTCAGCATTCAAAATGTGGTCCGGGAATGGAGTTCTGGGAACTCGAAGAACACGAAGTGGCCTACAGTTGGCTCCGGGCATTCAAAATCATGTCCAGGAATGGAGTTCTGGGAACTCGAAGACCACGAAGTGGCCTACAGTTGGCTCCGGGCATTCAAAATGTGGCCCGGGAATGGAGTTCTGGGAACTCGAAGACCACGAAATGGCCTACAGTTGGCTCCGGGCATCCAAAATGTACGCCGGGAATGGAGTTCTAGCAGCGCCAAGAGCGATTTTGCGAGGATGTCCCAAGCGATTTGGGCTTCGGCGGCACCGCCCCGGGTCCCGCCCCGACCCCCCTGTGGAGTCATCTGCTGCTCTCTTTTGAGACCATTAGAAACCTATCAGCAAAAGCTGTTAGGTAAAAATACTCAAAAATAGTCCCCAGACTATTTTTTGCTATTTCCGAATCTTCCTCCTCTAGAGGGGACGGGCCCGACTTCCTGCCGCGCGCGCCGCCCAGGCGCCCCCGCTCGCCCGCGGGCCGCGGCGGCCCCAGGGCACGCCCCTGACCTTCCAGGAGGGCTAAAAAATGGCACCGGGACGGCGACGTCCCCTAATTCCTGCCGAAGCTCGGGGCAGTCCAGATAGATATCTATAGGTCTGGAGTGCTATTTCTTAGCACCCTGGAAGGTCAGGGTACCCCATCTCCTCCCTCATGCTCCCCCCGGGGCCTGGCAGCGGCGAGCACCTGCAAAAAACCCAGGAGCCGCCCCCTCAGGGGGACGGGGGGGGGGGGGAGGCCTCTTAGAGGGAGGCTGCCTCCTGGAAGGCGCCGGCCCCACATCTGCAGTCGGCGGCGAGCGAGGGCGCCTCCGCCCCCGCGCGGCGCCGGCCGCGCCCCGCTCTCCCCCCGCGCCCGCCCGCCGTGGCTGGGCGAGGCGCGCCCTGGCGGCGCAGCCGCCCTGCCGGCGCCGCCCGCGGGCCCCACGGGCGCGGGGCGTCTTCCGCCCTGGCCTTCGGTCGGGCCTGTGCTTCGACAGCAGAATGGTAAAACATACACAGCAGTGCCACCATGTTGTTATCCGTTGCACAAACAACTATTTATGCATATATCTATCTAACAAAACATGCTGGGCGAAGAATCCAAAATACATGCTGTAAAGAAATGCTCAAAGATAAACAACAAATCGTCCCCAGACTTTGTTTTGACTATTTGGGAACATCCCTCCTGTAGAGGGACATGCCCGACCAAACCCTGGCCGTCTTTTCCCCACCATTCGCGCTCTCCCTCCGTCACGCGCCGCCGTGGCTTCCCCGTCTGCCTGCACCTCACCGTCACAAGCGCAAGGCAGAGCACAGCTGCAGTCCAGCAAAACAGCGTTCATTTCCAGCCCTGCAGGAAGCTAGGGGTATGGCGACCCCAGTCCCAGACTTCGGGGGGGGACTTTCCAAGATCTTTGGACCCGTGTATATATAAAGGGAAATTAGGACACACAAATAAATACACACAAATAAAAAGATGTCCCATATTTTCCTATATTTTCTGGGTTTTTGTCTTCCCCACCACTTCCCATATTTTCCTATATTTTCCTGGGAATCGACGATTAATTGTGTCTGTGTGTTTCTTCCCCTCCTGATATATCATGGGGCCCATCCTCGATAGGGGTGCGTCCGAGCGGCCCCTGAAGATGCATCCCCGACTCTTCTCCCTCGTCTCTGAGCAACCGGATTCTTCGGGGGCAGCTCGGGCGTTGGGTTGGATGCTTGTTCTGCTAGGGACCTTCCTGGAGACACTCGCCGTCGATTTGAGTCGATCCTTCGTCGAAGCTGCGTCGAACGTCCGTCCATTTGAGTCGATCCTGAGTCGATCCTGAGTCGAACGTGAGTCGAACCTGAATCGAACGTGAGTCGAACTTGAGTCGAACTAGCGTCGGACAGATCCGTGAGGTGGGCCCCAGGAAGGTCCCCAAAACGAGTATCTAAGATTTGGGGGCGACAACTCGCCTTCGAGCAGGGGCTCCAGACTTCTCACGGGTCTTGGCTATATTCCAAGGAGCTCCCCGGTGGGGCCTCGAATCGGCCCGCCTGCCACCCGGTCAGCGCCGCCGAAGAGGTGGGCGGCATGGCCCAGGTCGCCTCCAAGAAGGACAGGATGGCTCCGCCGAGGAATGCCACAGATCGGCGGCGAGAGAGGGGGGAAATGGGGAGGGGCGGGCCATCTCGGAAGGCTCGGAAGTCCCCCGGCCTTCTGAGAAGTTCTCTAAGCCCTCCCCGAAGACGCAGAAGACTTCTCAGAAGGCGCGAGGGCTTCTGAGAAGTCTCGCCGCCCACCGAGAAGGCCTTCTCCTTCTCACTTCCCCAGCTCGCGCGCCGCCGAACAGAGGGTGCCTGCACAGTCATCGCGCTACCATCAGGAACGCGAATCGAGGAACTGAGCTCTTCTGGCCTCGGTGAGCATGGGACGTGAACCGTCCCCACGACCTTCCTCCGAGGGAGCGGCCGGAGCCCAGAGCCCCACCCGATGCCCAAGGTGCTCCTTCTTATGGCAGCACCTCGACTGCAGTGCCCTTCCTCACTCCTCCTCCTCCTCCTCCTCCTCCTCCTCCTCCTCCTCCTCCTCCTCCTCCTCATCATCATCATCATCATCATCATCATCATCATCATCATCATCATCATCATCATCATCATCATCATCATCATCATCATCATCATCATCATCACCATCACCATCGTTAGCATCATTCATCATCATCCTCATCATCGTCATCATCATTCTATCATCATCACATCTATCATCATCATCATCATCCTCATATCATCATCATATCATCTATCATTCATCATCATCATCATCATCATCATCAATCATCATCATCATCATCTCGTCATCATCATCCATCATCATCATCATCATCATCATCATCATCATCATCATCATCATCATCATCATCATCCCCCTCCTCCTCCTCATCCTCTTCCCCCATGATCCTCCTCCTCCCCCTCCCCCTCCTCCTCCTCCTCCTCCTCCTCCTCCTCTTGCCCAGGGATGGCGCAGGTAATCGCCAGGTCGATTTGACACGACGGGGGCGGAGGGGGGTGGAGGGCAGCTTTAGGAGAAGACGACGAGAAAAAAGGAGCAGGAAGAGGAGGAGGAGACAACTGGGCCAACGACGACGTTGACGAGGATCAAGCTCTTCGCCGCTGTAGCGCACGGCGGGACTCCACGCTACAAAAAAAGCACGCTTAGAACTTGAGACTCAAGACTTCACATTAGCTGCGCGAGCTCGAGCTTGGGATTTCTTGCGGGAACCAAGCGTGGCTTTGGGGAACGCCTGCGACAACCACGCGAGACCAATTGTTGTCGCATTGCAGTGTTGTCTGCATTGCAGTCTTTGGGTTGCTCGCGTTGCACTTAACATCCATTGCGGTGTTCTGTTTGCGCGCTGGTGGCGCTAATCGAGCTGTGGCTTCGGATTGCGCGCGGGAGCCAAGCGTGGTGCGGGGAGGTTCTGGGAGGGATGAGGCGCACATGTGGGCGACGACCACACGAACACAGTGTTGGTTGCATTGCAGCGCTGTTTCCATTGCATAAGTGTTGCATTGCAATTTTGATTGTGCTGTAGTGGCGCTGCTAGAGAGATTAGGATTCTGCGTGCGAGCCAAGCGTGGTCTGAGGAGATTAAGGAAGGGCTGAAGCGCACATATCGGCGACGATCACACGAATCCAATGTTTGATAATTCACATTCGTGTTTCTATTGCAGTCTGTTGTGCATTTTGCATTACATGTCTTTGCATTGATTGCAGCTTCTCCGGAATTGTAGTTTTGATTGTGCTGGATTGGCGCTGCTATGGCTTGAGCTTTGGATTCCGAGTGGAAGCCAAGCGTGGTTTGGGAAGGTTCAGGACGCGGTGAAGCGCACACGCCGAAGACGACGACACGAAACAGTTGTTTTCCATTGCAGTCGTCGTCGTCGTCGTCGTCGTCGTCGTCGTCGTCGTCGTCGTCGTCGTCGTCCCGCCCCTGGCGTCGCCGCAGCTGGGGCTGGGACCGAAAGCACTGCTGCGTCAAGTCCGGCTGCGGCGGAAAGGGAGGTGATGGGGGGAAGGAAAGTCAGCACCCATAGTAGTTCGTATGCCCCAAAGCTAAGTCGGGCGCTGGGGCAGAAGAGCTTGTCGCATCGAGCGGCTCAGAATCAAAGGAGGGAGGTGGCAATGAGGGGTAGAGTGAGAGGGGGTGGAGCGAGGAGTGCGGAGCGAGGAGCGAGGGAGGAGCGAGGAGGGAGGAGCGAGGAGGGAGGAGCGAGGAGGGAGGAGCGAGGAGGGGTGACAGCGATGGGGAGGAGGGGGTCGGGAAGTGGCGGCCAAACGCACCACCGTCCAGAGCCAGGGCCGACCTGCGCCCGGCCCATCTCCTGGCCGCAACCGAGGGCACCTACGTCGCACACACCTTCCTAGAGAGGGGCCCAGGGTGGCCATGGCCAGGCATGGGCAGTGGTGCATGGCGTATAGCGCGCTTCTGTGGAGGAGCCAAGAACTGCACCGGCATGAGTATAGACGGGGTCCAGCGCCGATCCAAGAGATCCGCGCGGACCTGTGAAACTCTCCCCGAGATCCGACGACGCGAAGCAGATGCAACATCGAGGATCAAAACACGACCAGAGCCCTGAACGCCATCTTTCTGCGGCACTTCTCGAGCCAGATCGATCCGTGAGGGCCCGGGGCCCACAATGATGCGAAGACGCCCGGCTCGAAAGGCATGCGGCACCAGGATCTCCGGGTTGAGTTCATGCAGCGTTGGCTCCTCGGTTCTGCCGGGGGGGGCAGGAAGCGCAGCCCTCTGGCGCAAGACCCCGCTCGGGGGCGAGGCCCAAGCCCGCGCCGGGCCAAGGAACAACCCGCGCCCAGTCACACGGGGAAGTCTCTGCTGACGTCGCGCTCCGCGACCTGGTTCTGCGGCGAGGCCTCTCCTCGGGGGGCGGGGCAAGGTTTCCCAGGGGGCCACATGCGAACCCTACCCCTACCCCCCACGATTTCTGAGGGGGAGGGTGGGGTTCACTTCGCTCGGGAGGTCCGGAACGAAGTGAACCCCATCCTCCCCCTCAGAAATCGTCGGGGGGTAGGGCTAGGGTTCGCATGTGGCCCCCTAGGTAAGGTGGGACTGACTCAGGGAGGGACACATCGACCTGGAATCGGCGATGAATCGCCGATAGATCAGCGATAGGTCCCTTGTAGCAACTCCGTAGGCTCCTGGGCGGGGGTGGGCTATCAGACCCCTGTCGGCGATCCGTAGGCGATTGGGGGTCGATGAGTTCCCGCCAGAGCATATGCCCCCATCGTTGCCCCGAGAGGGGGGGGGAGGGGAGCGACGGAAAAGAGGGATGCTGGGGATGCTGCAGAGCGCTGTTGGACAGTCTTGGGCCGCCAGAGAAGGACCCCAGACATCCGTCGATGTGATGGTCTGAGGGCGCGGCCCCAGAGGTCCCGACCCCTTCTCCGCGGCAATTTGCTCTCGCCCCGGATCTATGCCTGAAGGCTCCTGGGCCCCGAGGGGCCGAAATCGAGAAAACAAATCCGGTACATTAAAGAACATGAAATCGATCAGAGACCGACCATCCCGGCATTCGTAAAGTGGGCCTACCACGCCATGTTCTTAGAACCCAAAAATGTTCTAAGAACGAAATCAATGTTCAGAAATACAGTCTGAGCCAGAGTTGCCCTTCGAACATTGCGTGCAGACCACAAAAGGATATTAGAACATTATTTGGTGGGCCTATAGGCAGGCCAGGACGCTTCGCCATTGCTTGATAAAGAACGTCGGAGACCTGCGGACCACTAGAGGCCTCCACGGAGACCTCCAGCTTGGATGGCCGCGAAGGGCTGCTCGCCACCTGCCGAACTGGCCAGTGCCACAGGCGCGCCCACCGGGGGCTGGACCCATCGGTCGGAAGAAGTAGACAGAAACATGAAATAGGAAGGCGTTGAAAGTAGATGGGGGGGTCCGCCCGCCCCCTAAAGAGGACGGAGGAGGTACTTTCAACGATCGGTGGGTATGCTAGAACGGTCCACCAAACACGGCGACCTTGACCCTACCCCCCTTTTCGCGTGGCCGAAGTCGATCCCCTCTCGTCAGAGCCCCGAATCATCAGGGGTAACTCGGGTCAGGGATAACTTGGGTTCGTTTTTCGGGAATCCAAACCCGAGTTACCCCGGACCCGAGTTACCCCGGATAACTCGGGCGTCCAGAGCCCCGAATCATCAGGGGTAACTCGGGTCAGAGCCCCGAATCATCAGGGGTAACTCGAGTTTCTGAGAGCGTGGACTTGAGCTCGCGCAAGATTCGCTCTGCAGGGGGGGGGAAGGGGGCGTACGTTATTTCCGACGTCATTTCCGACGTTTTTCGGTACCCGGGGACAGGGGGGTATAGAAAACTCAAATTCCGGAGCTCAAGACCCCCCCCGGATCAGCGGCACTGGCCGGAGGCCAGCCCAATCAAAAAGAGTCCAAAAAGAAGGTTTACAAGAAAGATTGCCAGACGGAGTAGAAGAAGAGCGCCCCCAGACTGTTGCTGCACTAGTTCTGAGTGGGTCCTCCTGTAGAGGGACGGGCCCGACCCAGGCCCGGAGATGCCGCCGGGGCCTCCCCGGGAGGCCCGGGGAGAAGGCGGCGCCAGCACGAGGACGAGATCGGGCGAGGACAGAGTGAGAAGCTCCGCGGACTGCCCACCAGACCACCCCAACCCAGCCCGAAGACCCGAACTTCGGGTTGGGGGGGGGTACGGGTTCCATATGTAATTGTTCAGTGCTCCCCGACCCCCCCCCCACTGGAAATGAAGGCAAACTGAGGCCCTCGGGTTGGGTTGGGGCGGTTTGGTGGTGGGTGGCGATACGCGGAGACCGGCGGCCCTGGAGGACGTCTCGGGCGCCGCGGCCTTCTCAGGGAACTCCGGAGAGGAACACTCTGCGAGCGCTCCAGAGCGCTCCGACATGGATAGGGGAACACAAAGTCACATAAACATAAAAATTCGGAGGTCCGCGATGATTGATTTCTCGGATCGGCGCCGGAGGCGCCGCCGGGGGGCCCGGGCGCCGATTCGAGAAATCCGCGCGGACCTCCGAGTTTTTATGTTTATGTCACTTTTTGTTCCCCTAACTCTCCGAGCGCTCCAGAGCGCTCCGACATGGAGTACGCTCTGACATGGATCTGTCCTCGTCCCCGCCCCGTCCAGCCTTGGGTCGGGGGCACGTCTGGCAGAGTTCGGCAGTTCGGCCGGGCCGCTGGCCGACGCCCCCCTCCGAGAACTCCACCGCCAGGGTGCGTGCACAGCGAGGCCCTCCCGGAGGCCTGCGCCGTTTCCCCGGGGCCGACCCTTCCAGAGGATCAAGATGAAGGGGCCCTGGGACACACAAATAAATACACACAGATAACAGGAGTCCCCCTATTTTCCTGTATTTTTGGGTTTTTGTGTCTTCCCCCCACTTCCCATATTTTCCCATATTTTCTGGGGAATGGACGATTCATTGTGCCTGTGTTTTCCCCCTCCCGACAAGAGAAGACAGCATGAGCCTACGCTCTCGGAGGTCCGCGCGGATGTTTCGGATCGGCGCGGGACCCCTGGCGCGCGGGAACGCGCCAGGGGCCGCGCCGTAGGCGCCGCCGAGGGGGGTCCAGGGCCGACAGATTTAGAGGGGCCTAGGGACACACAAATAAATATACACAAATCCAAGGATCTCCCATACTTTTCCACATTTTCTGGGTTCTCGTCTCCACCCCACTTCGCATATTTTCCAATCTGTTCCTGGGAGTCGACGATTCATTGTGTCTACGTGTCTTTCCCCCTCCTGAAAGTACTGCCTCTACTGTCTGTTCGTGCTTCTTCGGTAGTCTCCCCCCGTGCCCCCAAACGCCTCGCGCAACGAGAGTGGAGCTGCCTGCTGCGTGCTGCGCGAGCTTACCCGAATCGCTGCAAAAACCTCCCTCCTCTGCCTCACACCAGTCCTTGCCCATGCTAGATCGTCTCGATCGTCCTCCCTCCTCCTCGATCCTCCTCCCTCCTTGCCGCAATCCTCGATGGCCCTCCCTGCCCCCCGTCCGACTCCTTCCCCGAACTCGATGAAGCTGCCGGAGCTGTTGCAGAGGCTGCACCAGTGCAGCAGCGGGAACATCTTGGCCCGCGCACCCTGGCCGTCCAGCCGCCTGTCCAGCTGCTCCAGGGACCTCGGCGCCCCCCCGCACCCCCGGGAGAGACCAACAGCTCGCACCTCCGCCCCCCGCTCCCCCGTGAGGAGGAGGAGGAGGAGGAGGAGGAGGAGGAGGAGGAGGAGGAGGAGGAGGAGGAGGGGGAGAAGGAGAAGAAGGGCGAGGAGGAGGAGGAGGAGGGGGAGGCGGAGGAGGAAGAGGAGGAGGAGGAGGAGGGCCCACCCCCCGCACCCCCGGGAGAGACCAACGGCTCGCACCTCCTCCTCCCTCCTCCCCCGCGGCACGCCGAGCCGTGACACGGTGGCGAGCACTGGCTCCCGGGCAGGGGCTCTCAGAGGCCTCCTGCACGGGGTCCGAGCAGGCGGGGTCGAAGGACCGCGCCGCATCGCCAACGCATCGCCGATGCGTCGGCGACGCCTCGGCGATGCGTCGCCGATGCGTCGGCGACGCCTCGGCGACGTCGGCGAGGGGAAACACGGTCTCCACCTCGATCCGCATCGTCGGTGCATCGGCGATGCGGCACGATCCTCAGACCCCACCTGCTCGGACCCAATCTAGGAGGCTAGATTTCTGTACGATTTACTAGGGGAAGAAAAAAACTTGTGGCGCTCCGCGCGGATTTCTTGGATCCGCGCTGAACCCCCCTCCCTGGCGCGCGGAGCGCGCCAGGGGCGGCGCTGGAGGCGCCGCCCGGGGGCCCAGGCGCGGATCCAAGAAATCCGCGCGGAGCTCCAACAGTCCATGTTTACGTGGTTTCGACTTCTTCGGCCAATCTGGGAGGCCTCGATTTCTGTAAGATCTGCCGGGGCCTACCCCCCCCCCACCACACCCCCTCTCCACACCCCGCTGCGTGCACTGCTCCCGCAGACCCCCGACGTCATGATTTTTCATGACGGCGACCCCCCGTGGTCTCGACCCATTCCCCGGGACCGGTTTTGCGTCCTGAGTCGTGTTTTGACAGTCCCGAGGGCCGGTGAGGGCCCCCAAAGGCCAAAAATAATGAAAAACCTCCCGTCGTGATTTGTTCATAACTCGAGGGGGTCTGGGCCTCCCTCCCGAGGCCCCCCTGGGCGGCTCTCCCCCTGGGGCTCTGCTCGGCGCGCCGTGCCCTCCAGGGCGGCACGGCGAGGCCGCCGCGGGACGCACGGGGACATACTGGCACGACGTGCAGTCCTAGGAGGCGCGCGTCCGAGCCGAACATATGTGGTACAGTCGGGGCGTTGACCTAAGGAACCCTAAATAAGGAACGAGCCCCTTTTTTCCATATGTTGAACTTCGATTTCCCCTGGAAAACCCGAGGCAAACTGCAAAACAATCAAGGAAAAACCGAGCCCCTCCCACACGAAAAGGGTTCCTTCGTCAGCGCCCCGACTGTAGACCCATCTTCTAGTATGTCGTTTCCCGAGCGCCGTGGCCAGAAAGCGCCCTCCACGACGCATATACTGCAAGAGGTCTCGGTGCGCGCGTCACCCCTGGGGGGGGCGACGCACACATAGTATCAGAATGTGGGGATGGCGCCGACATGAGGCCACTAGAATGAGTGGCCCAACCTTGCCTCAGGAGGCACCCAGGAGCGCCCAGTGAGCCCCACCCCAGGAGGCCTCCAAGAGGCTCCGAGACGCCCCCCAGGCTCGGCGGTGGACAAACCTCCCTTTAGTAAACCTCCCCTTAGTGAAAACGGCCTGGGGTCGAAACCGACGGACCTGGACCCGCAAAAATGACGGCCGCGACGCCCTCTCGCGAACCAGAAACGGCCAATTCCTTAATCGACGTGTCAGGGTAGGAGGTCTGTCCACCTCCGACAGGCGCTTCCCAGGACGGCCTCCAGCAGCCCGAAACCATCATCAAATTCCCCTTGCGCACTTCCGTGCTCCTCGTACGGCGCTCCTCGGTCGAAGATCGGCCCCTCGCGGTCCTCGCGGGCCCAGAGAGCCCAGGAGGCGCGCCATTGGCAGCTCCGACAGGGCCCGCGAGCGGGAGGGGACGACCGCGGAAGAGCCCCACTCTGTTTCTGTTTTGCTTCTGTTTGATCTGCGGGGCGAGAGCGAGCCATTTCCGCTGGAAGCTAAGCGGGACGCGCACAGCTTTCATTAGCAGAGAAAGGGCGAAAGAAGGCGGAAGAGCCCCACGCTGGCCCCCCGATGGGGGCCCAAAACAGCCTGGACCCGAGGCCCCCATGGTTTCTGTCGTACGTCTACAGAGGCTAGAGGCCACCGAGGCGGCAGCGCTCCACCGCGCGCGGCCACGAACTCTCCGCGCAGAAACTTGGGAGGACGAGGAGGACGAGGAGGACGAGGAGAAGGAGGAGGAGGAGGAGGAGGAGGAGGACGAGGAGGAGGAGGAGGATGAGGAGGAGGAGGAGGAGGAGGAGGAGGAGAACGAGGAGGACGAGGAGGAGGAGGAGGAGGAGGAGGAGGAGGACGAGGAGGAGGAGGAGGAGGAGGAGGAGGAGGAGGAGGACTAGGCAGGCGGCGCGCCGCCGCGCCGGCCGGTGGTCAGCTACGGCACGGGCCGCTGGCCGACGCTGGTCGACGCTGGCCAGTACCCGCACGCGGAGGCCGGCCGGGCGCACGGCGGCAGGCAGCGCCGAGGAGGGCCGCGGCGCAGCAGCCCAGGCCACCCAGGCGGCCTGCGTGGCGGCGGCGTCCGCGGCCCCCTGCGCCGCGCGCCCTGGTGGAGCGCTGCAGCAGGCCTGGTGGCGGGCCGGTGCACCGGCGCCGCCCGCAGCAGTGGCCACGCCCGCGGCGGCGGGCCGCCCGCGCGGGCCGGCGCCCGGGGGCGCCGCGCGGCGGCTGCGTCCTGGACAGTGAAGCGCCGAAGGGCGCCGCCGGGGCCACACCTGACGCGAGCTGGTTGTCGGCGGCCTGCGCGACAGCATCAAGGACCGCACACTCGTGCGCCACGAGCACCTCCACCGTGTGCAGGAGCGGCGCGCCAGTTGCACATGGCGGCGGGCAGCCTGCAGCCGCCTTGGCGGCAGCGTCCGTCAAGCGATCCGCCCGCCAATCCACGGCGCTGACGATTTCCCCATCGGACCTCTTTGCAAAGCCAATGCTGGCCGCGGCGCCATGCGCCAGCATCCAGGTGAGCCTGCTGGTCGTCAGAAGCTCCGCGGGGTCGCCGTCCAGGAGCGTGGACACGCGGGACCAGACCAGCACAAGCGTGCACGTGGGCCAGGTAGTCTGGACCGCGCTAGCTGCATCTGCAAAGAGGATGGCTATGCGGGGCGGCACGACGGCAAAGAAGAGCACGATGGATACAGTCGGGGCGCTGACCTAAGGATTCCTAAATAAGGAACGAGGCCCCTGTTTTCCATAAGCTAAGCTTCGGTTTCCAATCGAAAACGAAAGGAAAACCCGAGGCAAGCTGTGCAGCAATTGAGGAACACCGAGCCCCTCCCCAACGAAAAAGGTTCCTTCTTCAGCGCCCCAACTGTACGGCCCCAAGCTCCGCTGCTGCTGCTGCCGCGCGGACCCAAGGAGGCACAGCGCAACCGTATGCCACGAGGCCTCCGCAGTAGCGCGTGACGTCCAGCAGGGTCGTGGACCGGCGGACGCCGGACTTCCCCTGCACCGCAGGGCGCGGCAGCCGAAGTGAGAGCAGCCCGCGCGCGCGAAACAGCGTCGCACGGGCCTCCGGGAGCGAGGACCAGAAGTCCAAACGTTGGTTGGGCGGCTCGGGCCGTCCCGCTGGACTGCAGCGAAGCTGCGCAGGCGCGGGGCAGGAGGGCGCCCAGCGCCGCGCCGCATAGCTGGCAGGTCCGGTCAACGATCACGTCGCCAGCGTGCCAGAGCCGAGCGAAGCGCACCTGGGCCACGGGCCCGCAGTCGCAGCGGAAAGGTCGGGGGCGACCAAGAGGGGGGCGTCCAAGAGGGGGGGGGCGCAAATCATGGCCAGCGGCATGTGCGCGGCCAAGGGGGAGGGAGCCAGGGACGCAATGAAATAAGAAGAGGCGCCACGAAGTCTGGGGAGATCTCATTGCCCCCGCCATGATATCCACCCCCCCCCTTGGCCATCACCCCCCCTCTCTGCCGCCCCCGGAAAGGAGCATGGGCCGACACGGGCCCGACCACTGCGGGGCGGTGCGACGAGGCTGGCCGGGCGCTCCGCAGGGGCCGTCAGGGAGAGGAGGAGGAGGAGGAGGAGGAGGAGGAGGAGGAGGAGGAGGAGGAGGTCTGGCGCCCCAGTGACGGCGAGGTCCCGCTCTGATCAGGGTAAAGTGTCACTCCGCCAGACCCACCAGCAACCCTCGAACGTGGCGACAACTTCGCACCCCCCCAAAGCGACGGCGAGGTCCCGCTCTGATCCTGCGCAAGGCGTCACCCCACAGGAGCCGCTGGCTGCCCCCAGAAGTGGCGACCGTTCCGCAGCTCGCAGCGAGGTCCTGCTCTGAAGTGCGTCAAACGTCACTCCGCTGGACCCACCATACAGCCCCCGGACGTGGCGACTGTTTCGCAGTTCCCAGCACCACCACCCCCAGCGACAGCGAGGCCCTGTTCTGATTCGCGTCAAACATCACTCCGCTGGACCCCCCCCCAGCAGCCCTCGAAAGTGGAGACAGCTTCGCAGTCCGCAGCCCCCCAGCGACGGCGAAGTCCCGCTCTGATCTGCGAAACACGTCACCCGCTGGTTCCCCCCAGTGCAGCCAACAAAAAAAGCGGCTGTTTCGCAGATTGCAGCCCCCCAACGACGACGAGGTCCTGCTCTGAACTGCGAAATACATTACGCCGCTGACCCCCCAGCAGCCCTCGAAAGTGGCGACCGTTTCGCAATTCGCAGCCCCCCAGCGACGGCGAGGTCCCGCCCTGATCTGCGTAAGACGTCACTCCGCTGGACCCACCAGCAGCCCTCAAAAGTGGAAACGGTTTCGCAGTTCGCAGCTCCCCAAGGATGGCGAGGTAAGGGGCAGGCCAGCAGGCAAACTCGCAGGCAGGTAGAAGCAAGCTAAGACGTGGGAGCGGAGGGAAGAGAAGAGGAAGAGGGCGGGAAGGAACCAGTACAATACAAAGTGTGCAACAAGGGGGGCAGCCCCATGAGGTACCAGGAGGGAGGCCACAGGAGGTCCCAGGAGGCCACAAGAGCAGGGGATCCCAGGAGGCAGGTCTCAGGAGGCCCTAGGAGGCCCCAGGAGGCCCCCAGGAGGCCCACCGAGGAGGCCCACCGAGGAGGTCACACAAGAGACCCAGGAGGTCACAGGAAGTCCCAGGAGGTCCCAGGGGGAAGGTCCCAGGAGACCCCAAGAGGTCCTCTGGGGCTGTGCCCGGTATGTGGCTCTGGTCGTTGGCACGGGAGGGAGGGAGCAGAGGGAGGGAGTGCGGGCGGGAGGGAGCAAACGGAGGGAGGGAGGTGAGGGGAAGCAAGCCCAATGATCCTCCTCGTCTGATTGTCAGGTCAGAACTCGGGTCTCTGGCGACCGTTCGGGACGATCCGGGCGCACCAAGGCGCCCCTCGGCGAAGCGCAGCTGCTTAGGAGCACCCCGGGCTGGAAAGTCGCAGAGAATCGACGAAAAGGCCCGAACCCGAAAACCTCGAACTTCGAGCATATCCCCCCCAGCGTGGGGGTGCGAAGACCCTAGACCCCAATTTTCTGTATCGTGTTTCGAGTCGGATCGTTCTGTGATGGCCACCGACGAAACTTGGCGAGATCGCCCGTTTTGAAAACATGCGAGGCCTTCCGATCAGATACCAGGTCACCGGCCTCCCCCACGATCCTCCACGATCCTCGTGGTCGCTCCCACTCCTCCTCCTCCTCCTCCTCCTCCTCCTCCTCCTCCTCCTCCTCCTCCTCCTAATGCTCCTCCTCCTCCTCCTCCTCCTCCTCCTCCTCCTCCTCCTCCTCCTCGATCCTCGATCCTCGATCCTCCTCGATCCTCCTCGATAGGAAGGAGGGAACGATTAGGGGGGCAGCGATGCGGGCAAGCAGTATATCCATAGCCAAGACGCCTTGGACTTTCTGGGAAGGGACGCCAAAACGCCCAGGAGCAGTGGATGTGGATAGACACCCAGCCTCTGGGGGTCAGATGCTTGTCCATATGCACTGCGCCTCTGGTTCCTGGGGAAGGGGGAGACCGAAGTGCCAAGACGCAGTGGATATGGACACAAGTATTGCCCGCACGAGTCGCGCCGCATCTCCGATGCATCGGCAACGCGACGTGACCCACCGACCCCATCTGCTCGGCCCACATTTAGGTGACCAGGGGTCTGCGTCGACGCCGTCACCCCAAGGACCTGAGCCGCTTTCAGACTCTCCTGGGAGCCCGTCGATGATTGGCCAAGACAGAACCCCTAACCCTTTGGGAAGCGACCTAAGTGAGGAGGGCCAAAAAAACCAAGAATAAGGGGAACTGTTCCGACAAATGTAGAAAACCAGACTGCCCAAATGTATCATCCCTAATGCAAAAATGAGGACATCCGTGAGGCCACGCTTTCCTCGTGTTTGTAAAGTCAGAGGTCCTTTCTGTGCTCCATGAGCTGAGAGCCCTCGAGCCGGAAGGCAGCCAAAAACCTGCGGACACCGTTCCCCCCTGGGCCTCCTCCTCCCCCTTTCTGCATGTCATCCGCCTGCCCCTCCTCCTCCCCTCCTCCTGCTCCTCCTCCTGCTCCTCCTGCTGCTGCTGCTGCTGCTGCTCCTCCTCCTCCTCCTCCTCCTACTCCTCCTCATCCTCCTCCTTCTCCTCCTCGTCCTCCTTCTCCTGCTCCTGCTGCTGCTGCTGCTCCTCCTCCGCCTCCTCCTCGTCCTCCTCCTCCTCCTCCTCCTCAATTATCCCCCTCCAAAAGTATGCTCCTCCTCCTCCTCCTCCTCCTCCTCCTCCTCCTCCTCCTCCTCCTCCCCCTCCTCCTCCCCCTCCTCAATCCTCCTCCTCCCCAGGCCTGCTTGCTTCCTGCCCTCCGCTTTGGGCCCGCAGGGGCGCGGGGCCTCGCCGCCCCGTGCTCGGGGTCCGCCCACTGCCGCTTCGGCGCCGCGCTCACGGCCACGGGCCCGCGCTCCCCCTCGCCGCCGTCGGGCTCCTCGGGGCCGAGGGCCAGGAGAGGAGGAGGAGGAGGAGGAGGAGGAGGAGGAGGAGGAGGAGGAGGAGGGGGGGGAGGAGGAGGAGGAGGAGGAGGAGGAGGAGGAGGAGGAGGAGGAGGAGAAGTCGGGCATGTCCTCCTACACCTGGATTTGGAAGGAAACATCAAAAATGGTCCAACCGTAAAAATCATGAGAGTACGAAGAATTGCCGCCTGGCTATAATTTGACTGCTCTTGAATGTTCACCCTGTAGAGGGACATGCCCGGCTGAAGCCGAGAGGGCGGAGGGCGGCCAAAGCGTTCCGCAGACGAGCCGCCGCCGCTGCCGCAGCCAGCGCCCTCTGCTGCCTCGTCCCCAGACCCCTCTCGCGTCATGAGAACAGCAGGAGCCACGCGTATACCCTGGCTCTCCACCTTCCCCATCGCTTAGAGGCCTCCTAGATGGGGTCGAAGTAGATGGGGTCGGAGGATCGCGCCGCATCGCCGATACATCGGCGATGCATCGGCGATGCATCGGCGATGCATCGGCGATGCACTGGCAATGCATCGTCGACGTGGGCAATGCAACGGCAACGCCGACGTGAAGCAACTCGGGCTCCGCATCGAGCCGCATCGGCGATGCATCGGCGATGCGGAGCGATCCTCCGACCCCATCTACTCCGACCCCACCTAGGAGCCCTAGATCGCTGGTGTCGGCCCCTACCCCCCGGGCTTTCGGAGCTCCCCGAATGGACCTGAACGTCGGGGCCCAACCCTGGGAGGTACGACGGGTGGGCGTCCACCCTCGACGGGGGTGCGCCCGAGTGGCCCCCCCTGGGGCATGCCCCAGGGCCCCTCCCCCTTCTTCCCCGAGTCGGGGGGTGCCTGGCCACCCGCAGCGGGCCGACTCGGCGCTGCCCTCGAGGGACAGCGCGCGGCGACTCACGGAAAAACAAAAAAAAAAAAAAAAAAAACTCTAATCTCCGCGAGCACTCCTCGCGCCGGCGCGGCCTCCGTGCTGGACCACCCGCTCTCGCTCCGGGCGGCCGCGCCCGGCCTCGGGCCCCGGGGCGCGCCGCGGCAGCTCCAGCTCGGCGCGAGCAGCAGCAGGGGTCGGGCGGGGGGGGGGCCCCAACGCAGGGCGGAGAAAGCCTGCCGTCGCCCGGGCGTGCACTTCCAGTGCATGCTTCGAGCTCGTGCGGCGATTGTTCGAATGGTGAGCCCAGATGCCCCTCCTCGGTGCGCACCGAGGGAAGAACACACACGTCCGAGCGGGGCGAGGAGGAGGGCAGGGAGGGGCCCTCGAGGGCTCCTTTGGGGCCTCTCTCCGCCCCCCATCACCGCCCGCCCGAGAAGACTGGGTCCAGGGACCCGGCACAGCTTTCTTCAAGATGTTGCAAGTGTCTCGCAACGCCAGACCTCAGGGCTCCTCCCTCCCGCCCGCCCGCCCGCCCGCCCTCCTCCCCCCATCGATCCCTCCTCCCGCCCTCCTCCCGCCCTACCCCCCTCCCCTCCCACCTCCTCCCAGCCGCCGTCTCCGTCGCCGACGCCGCCGTCGCAGCCGCCCCCCTCCTCCAGAGGTCTCTGGAAGCCTCTGGAAGCCCGCCCCGCTGGAGGCGCAGAGAAGCCCCAGGACTTCGGAAAAAACTCTGGATGCTGGATCCTCGCCGTCGGTCGTGCGCCGCAGGTCGTCCGTCAACCGTCGCCGTCCGTCGTCCGTCGTCGCAGTCGTTGTCGTCGTCCGTCGTCCGTCGTCCGTCATCGTACGTCGTCGTCAACTGGCGTCCATCGTCGGTCGTCGTCGCCCGTCGACCGTCATCGACCGTCATCCATCGTCCGCAGCCGCCGTCGTCCGTCGTCGCCAACCGTCGTCCCGTCGTCCATCATCCGTCGACCGTCGTCGTCCGTCGCCGCGTCCGTCGCCGCGTCCGCCGCCGCCGCCGCCGCCGCCGCCGACCGGCATCCGCTTAGCATCGGCCCCAGGGATCCCTTCCGAGGCCCAACCCGGCCGGCCCTCCGAGCCGCGCCCTGCCGCGGCGACGAGGAGCTCCCAGAACGCCGTGGGGCCCGAGACACGAAGACGTGGTCGTCACCGCCGCCGCCGCCGCCGCCGCCGCCGCCTCTGCCGCCGATGCCGTCGCCGTCGCCGTTGCCGCCGTCGCCGTCGTCGTCGTCGTCGACCCTGAGATCTGACGCTGCGGAACACATGCAACAACCCGAAAAATGCCGACCTGAGCCCTGGACCCGTCTTTCTGCCGCATCTTGCGAGCCAGATCGGTTTGTGACGGCCCTGGAACCCGAATCCAGGCGACAACGCCAAGACTGAAACAAATTGCAACGCCCAGATCTCACGGGGCGTCGTCGTCTTCGTCGTCGCCACCGCCGTCGTCGTCCTCTTCGTCGTCGTCGTCGTCATCGTCGCCGTCGTCGTCGCCATCGCCGTCGTCGCCGAGGGCGCACCGGCCGAGGGCGCCTCGACCGGGCCCCGCGAGGCCTCGAGCACGCGCCGCACCGCGGGCAGCAGCTGGCCCGCCCGGGCGGCGCCGCGCAGCTGCCGCCGCGCCCGCTCCTGGAGGGCCAAGGCGGCCTGGGGATCGGGGACAACAAATCGCATGAACATACATGGGACCCACAGAGACAGACTACTACCATCCTACTCCTACTCCTACTCCTACTACTCTCCTACTCTACTACTCCTACTCCTACTCCTACTCCTACTCCTACTCCTACTCCTACTCCTACTCCTACTCCTACTACTACTACTACTACTACTACTACTACTACTACTACTACTACTACTACTACTACTACTACTACTACTACGACTACGACTACTACTACTACTACTACTACTACTATACTACTACTACTACTACTACTACTACTACTACTACTACTACTACTAACTACTACTACTACTACTATACTACTACCTACTACTACGACTACTTCTTACTATACTACTACTACTTTGTCTATTACTACTTACTTACACTACTACTACTACTATATACTCGTTACTTCGACTACGGACTACTACTACCATCATACTCTACTCTAAACCGATTGATTCCTACTCCTACTCTTTACTCCTACTTCCTTCTACCTTACTCTACTCCTACTACTACTACTTCTACTACTACTACTACTACTCTACTACTCCCTCCTACTCCTATCCTTATTCCTTATTAGAATATACTCCTACTCCCCCCTCAGGCCGGCAGATAGCGGGCGCATCCGGGTGGTCCCATCCTAACCTGTAATAAACAATACAAAATCAACATTTTTCTTATTTTTTCCTCTCGACATGGACGTCCTGTCGTCCACGGCGATAATCCATTGCAAAAAATACCACAAAGAGCACACGCGCGCGTTCAGGTCAGAATCCTACCGAACACCGTGTGTTTGCAAGCATTTCAACATAAAAACATCAAAAACCCAATGCTTTTTCACAAAATTGTACAAATTTCCCGCCCGGGTTCTCTTGCTGAAATCATAGGAAAACCATAGGAATCTTAAGAATTCTGTCAAATCCAGCGATTTCGCGTCATCGCGCGGTGCACTCGCGATGCTCTGTCATGCACCCAGGCCGCGAATCCTGTGCAAAAAATACCACAAAGAGCACACTCGCGCTTTCATGTCAGAATCCTACCGAACACCGTGTGTTTGCAAGCATTTCAACATAAAAACATCAAAAACCCAATGCTTTTTTACAAAAATGCTTTGGGGTGTCCTGTCAGACCGTCGGGCTTCCTCCGGCCACCTCTGGCTTCCTGCGGTGTACCGGGCCATTCTCGACTCGTCTGGCAATGCGTGCGCGGCATCAACACGCGCTCGCCAATTCCCGTCGGCAACCGCCATCGCGGCCGCATCAGCTGTACCAAACCGGCTGGCCGGTGAGACTTCGGCCCCCATTTGTGCCAGTTTTGCTTCTTTTGTTGTGGGAGGGCGGGTG